GGGTTTTTTTGGGTTTTGCTTTGTTTTGTTTTTTGAGACAGAATTTCGCTTTTGTCACCCACGCTGGAGTGCAATGGCACGATCTCGGCTCACTGCAACCTCCTGGGTTCAAGGGATTCTCCCACCTCAGCCTCCCAACGATTATAAATCGTTCTACTATAGGGACACGTGCACAAGAATGTTCACTGCAGCACTGTTTACAATAGCAAAGACCTGGAACCAACCCAAATGTCCATCGATGATAGACTGGACAGGGAAAATGTGGCACATATACACCATGGAATATTATGCAGCCATCAAAAATGATGAGTTTGTGTCCTTTGTAGGCACATGGATGAACCTGGAAACCATCATTCTCAGCAAACTGACACAAGAGCAGGAGATCAAACACTGCATGTTCTCACTCATAGGCGGGTGTTGAACAATGAGAACACATGGACACAGGGAGGGGAGCACTACACACTGGGGTCTGCTGGGGGGAAATAGGGGAGGGTCAGTGAGGGGTGGGGAGTTGGGGAGAGAGAGCATGGGGAGAAATGCCAGATATAGGTGATGGGGAGGAAGGCAGCAAATCACACTGCCACGTGTGTACCTATGCAACAATCTTGCATGTTCTTCACATGTACCCCAAAACCTAAAATGCAATAAAATAAATTTAAAAAAAAAAAAAAAGATGAGGAATGTGCTCTACTGACTGCCATAGGCCCTCCACTTTCTCATTTTACACAGACAACTTCCCTTAGTTTTCCATTTCTAGTCTGGGGCCTATATGCAATTAAGTTTCCAATCACTGGCCAGGCAGCTCATGCCTGTAATTCCATCACTTTAGGAGGCCAGGACAGGAGGATCACTTGAGCCTAGGAGTTAAGAGACCAGTCTGATCAATATAGCAAGATCTCTGTCGCTACGAAAAAATTAAAAAATTAGCCAGGTGTGGTAGCATGCATCTGCAGTCCTAGCTACTCAGGAAGCTGAGGCAGGAGCCCAGGAGTTTGAAGCTGTAGTAAGCTATGATCATAGCACTGCACTTTAGTCTGGCACAGAGCAAAACCTTGTCTCTAAAAAAAAGGAAAAAAAAAGTTTCTAATCACCGAATCCGATTATATGCTAAGATATTACAAGGTTATCATGAACATTATTTATACCTTTCTACTTAGTTTTCTTATGGTCATTTTCCCCACCGGAAAATCCAAAATAAGGATTCACAAAATTATGTAGCAATTTAATTGCAAATAGCCTTAGAGATTATCTAGCAAAATCCAACACTCCTTTATCATGACATAGAGGAAAAGACTAAAGGCAAACAGCTTAAGTTTCTTGCTCAGAGCTTCTTAATATAAGTTGGTGCAAGACATTCAACTCAACATCAAAACATTTAACTTGTGTAAGACCTTATGCTGGAGCTACAACAACAAATAAATGTCCAACCTCTCCAAGATACACAAGCTAGTAAAGGGCATAGACACATATACATGAAGACATTATAGAAGGCACGCATGCTAAAAGGAAGGAAAAACTAATTTCTTTCCGTTTTAGAGAGACTTAAGAAAACTTCCTGAAGGGAAAACATCTGAACAGAGGTTTGAATAATGGGTAGGACTGCTGCTATGGACAAGATGTGATGGCATAGGAGGAAAAGCCAAGAAGCATATAAGTGCACAGTATATTCAGAAAAAGTAAGTAAATCAGCATGGTTGGGGGTAGAGTGATAGAAGGTTATGTAGGAAGCATATAGACAAATCCTAAGAGCTAGTGCTTCCTATTTTCTTCTTTAGCCCACCTCTTTATCCCCCTAGGACTCAAGAACCTAGAAAAGAGTTAAATATAATTGGGAACTCAGTAATAATTTATAATAATAGAAACATTAGTGGCTACTGGAATTCAGAGTGGAATTATCATATGCCATAAACATACTAAATACTTCATATGCATTATCTTGTTTGAACCTCATTTTAAAAATCTATTAGAGTTACATGCATGGCATGTGCCTGTAATACCAGCACCTCAGGAGGCTGAGGCAAGAGGATCATTTCAGCCCTTAAGTTTGAGGCCAGCCTGGGCAACATAGTAAGACCTCATCTCAAAAAATAAATAAATAAAAATTTTAAACTTTTTTAAAACCTAAGAGATAGTTACTAATATTACTGTCATATATGATATGTAAGTGATAACTGAAGCTTATAAAGAGTAAGTAACTTGGCGGGAGGGGAGGTGGGCAAAAATAAATAAATAAATAAATAACTTTTCCAAAATCAGTTAAAAAGTGGATTCATATATAACTCATCCGTCTCCAAAGCCTATGAACTAAACCAAAATAAATGCTAACAAATGCACAGAACAGAAAATTTACAATCAGATTATCAATTTTCAAATACTGATTTTTTAAAATTAATTTTTGGGGAGCAACGGCGACTGCTTTTGTCCTAAGGCTACAGAATGATCTGGAGAGTACAGTATAAAGCTTCAAAAGTTCCTTCAACTGAGTGGCAGTAGGCAAGTTATATTACGCTTGGGGGCTTCAATTTCCTTGTCTGAAAAATGAGTACAGCAGTACCTACTCGTAGAATGTTATGAGAACGAGTTAAGGTATATAAAGCGCTAAACACAATGTCAGGTACGATGTAAACCACGGCTGTCCACAACACAGTCCCCGTCCATGCAAGCAAGTAATCAGAAGGGTAACTAGAAACGCTGGACGCATCCATATGGAGATGGAATAGTCTAACCTTGTCCAGAAAGATCATAGCAGACGTTCAGATCATAGCAGACGTTCAGAAAACGCATTTACAATGGCCCTTAGGTAATGGGTACTCCTGATCCCTGCAGGGCTTATGCAATAGGGTGGCGAAAAATAGGGTGGCAAAGCAGAGACTCGGGCTGTCTCGTTCGCCTCACTAGCCCCAGAGCCTAAAGCAGTTAGGCATGAAGGCGCTCAGTTACCAACTGGCAGAGTAGTAAAGAGGCCTTGGGCCCTTCTGAAACTCCGAAGCGAGAGACTTACCCCAAGGCCAGCTTCCCCCGGCTCCTCAGGTTCTGTATCCACAACGCACCTGCAACATGAACACAGCCGTCAACTCAGATTCCATCTGGACACCCTTCCGCCGGTTAAGCACTAAGAAATCCTTACCCAACTGATCCAGTACTGCCGCCGCCATCTTCCGCCCTCTCGCTACGGAAGCCTCCGAGTTCAAGGGCCTTCTAGACAGCACGCATGCGCAATACTCGGGCATTCCTGTGGGGCTCTCCCCGCAGCACTACCTACACCCGCTGTGCTGTCACGAAGATCGCGAGCACAGCGCCACCACTCAAGGTGTGATCAGGCGAGCCTGGCTTGGGAATAAATGAATTAATAAAGTTCGAAAGCGCGTGGGCTTCCGAAAATTCACCTGGATTCAGAAAAATTGTGAAGCCCGAACTCACAAACTCGAAAGGCGTAGGGGAACAGAATCCATGAACAAGCCATGTAATCAGATGGCCCTCAGTTTTCTTCTCAGAAATAACTAACCCTAGGGCACAAGCTTGTTATAAAGATCAGTTGAAATTGTGTGAAAGCTATTTTATTTCATTTTATTGAGACAGGATCTCTCGCTCAGGCTGGTGTGCGGTGGCAATAACCTAGTCTCACTGCAGCCTCGACCTCCCGTGCTCAAGCCACCCTTCCACCTCAGCCTCCCAGTTAGCTGAGACTACAGGTGCACGTCACCACACCTGACTAATTTTTGTATTTTTTGTAGAGGCTGGGTTTCGCCAAATTGCCCAGGCTGATTTAGAATTCCTGGGCTCAGATGATCCACCCTCCTCCGCCTCCCAAAGTGCTGGGATTACAGGTGTGAGCCACCAAGCCTAGCCTAAAATCTCTTTTAAACAGCAAATAGTTTAAATATGATGTATGCTGTCCTAATCCCTACTAATCTGGTTGACCTCCAGGAAATGAGTTTATATTCATCGGGCATTTACTGCCATATGTCCGGCAGGTATTTCACCAAATCTCATTTATTCCTCACAGCAATCCAACAAGGCATGGATTAACATTTTCCTTCTTCAAATGAGGAAACATATTTAGGATAGGTTAAAGTCTCTCAGCTAACAACTGGCAAACCAGTGATCAATCTGCAGCTAGGGTGTCTCCAAAGCTCGTGCCCCTAGATGTAGCGAAATATATGTATTTGACCTCTCTGTATTAATGACCGGTAGTTCAGATTTCGGTTTGCTACATACGCAGGAGTGCCAGATACCCAATGCAAATAAGCAACACACAAGTAGTGCAGAATCTGAGCATTTTAGCATTTTTTTAGTTGGAAGGAAACTTTCTTTCACACCATTTACCACATACAGGTTCCTTCACAGAGCTCTCAATCAAGCAAATCGAGTCACTCCATTTGCTTCTCTTTCATCTTTGAATACCCAGAACCCAGAGCCAGAATTTCCACCGAGTTGCAGAAAGTGTTCTTTCCCTTTTTAATTCCAGATTTGTACTTTCACATTTTTGTTTATTTTTTTGAGACAAGGTTTCACTCTGTTGCCCAGGCTTGAGTGTAGTGGCACAATCACAGCTCACTCCAGCCTGTCCTCCGGGCTCCATATTTTTGTTAGGTGACTCCTTGTGCATACCTTTAAAACACCTTCACAACTAGCGAAGTGCCCTGGCACAGAGCGTTCAAAAAACAATGAACGCGTCGTGGTTGAACAAGTCCAAAGAGTAAACTGGTAGTGTGGGGCGGTGGTTCCACTAGTCTAATCCTCTAATTTTGTGCCTTCCTGTGGATAGTGAAATGCTTAACCTCGGGGCTGTGCTCAGGCAACACCCGACCCTAGCCGGGGTTGGGGCGGACCTCCTCCCCCGGGCTAGGTACGGAGGGCCAGCGCAGCGCACGCGGTCAGGCCCCTCCCAGCCCGGCGGCAGCGAGCACGGAACGCGCGGTGCTAGCTGGGCCTCGGCGCGCACCGTAGCGACTGCCCGAGAAGGCGGGGCTCAGCGGGCTCAGCCCGCCCCCCCCACCCCCCCTCCCAACCCCAGGCTGAGGCGTGAGGCTGCGAGCGCTCTCTCGCTTGGCTGCTTCTCTTGGCTCCGACGACCTGTAATTATGGGGCAGGAGCCGCGGACGCTGCCGCCCTCCCCCAACTGGTACTGCGCCCGCTGCAGCGATGCGGTGCCCGGGGGCCTCTTTGGCTTCGCCGCGCGGACCTCCGTCTTCCTTGTCCGCGTGGGCCCGGGCGCAGGCGAGAGTCCTGGGACACCTCCGTTTCGAGGTAACTCACCACCCTTGGTCCTGAGCCCTCTTGCCCTTTCTACGCTCTCCAGGGGCGCCGAGTGGACATCTCCAGCCACCCCGTTTTCTACAGCTAGGGAAACTGAGGTCCAGACTGGGAGAAGAGTCAGCCCAGATTCACTAAACTGAGTTACTTCTGGTCCCCAGAATGAGCTACAGCATGCTGTGGCTGAGCGGTCCCGCCTCCTGGAGCTTCCACGTGGGACTGCTTGCTGACTGAAAAGTTAGCCCTGTACAGTCCCGGCCGTTTATAGGGCTCCCCCGCCCAGCCCGGTGCACGCCAGCCCCTGGGGAGCCTTCCTGAGGTTGGGGGCTGACTACAGCTGCAGGCTCTATGCATGATCCTTCGACGTGTGACATTCATTACTGTAAGATGACTGGGTTGAGCCAGATGTTTTCAGGCTCCAAACTAGGCTTTGATTGTGCCTTGGGATATGACGTGTCGGGTCATTTATTCTGGCCTGATCTAAATAAGAGTCGCTATCAGGGCCGGGCGCGGTGGCTCAAGCCTGTAATCCCAGCACTTTGGGAGGCCGAGGCGGGTGGATCACGAGGTCAAGAGATCGAGACCATCCTGGTCAACATGGTGAAACCCCGTCTCTACTAAAAATACAAAACATTAGCTGGGCATGGTGCTATAGTGAAATGCTTAACCTCGGGGCTGTGCTCATGCCTGTAATCCCAGCTACTCGGGAGGTTGAGGCAGGAGAATTGCCTGAACCCAGGAGGCGTAGGTTGCGGTGAGCCGAGATCGCGCCATTGCACTCCAGACTGGGTAACAAGAATGAAACTCCGTCTCAAAAAAAAAAAAGAGTCGCTATCACATTATTTGAGCTGCTTTCCAGCCTCTGAACTAAGCACAGCGAGGTATATCAGCATTCATTTCACAGTTGAGAAGCTGAGCCTCAAAAAGACTTGTTCGAAGTCACGTGGCACTTGGGAGTTCTGATTGTGAGTCCGTCGTATTTCGGTTATACCATGGGTTGTGTAACTCCAAAGTATCTGCTCCCTCATCATCCAACAACAGTATGATTCTGCCAGGAATCTTGGATAGCACTTTGATTAATCTAACATCTGGTTTTACTTGAAGTCATAGGAGAGTTGGTGGGACACACCGAGAGGGTCTCTGGCTTCACATTTTCTCATCACCCTGGTCAGTACAACCTCTGTGCCACCAGCTCCGACGATGGGACTGTGAAAATATGGGATGTAGAGACAAAAACAGTTGTGACAGAACATGCACTCCATCAGGTACCATGGCTTACTGGTTTCTCAGACCGTTTTTATATGTCTGGGCTGAGGGTTCTTGGGTTTCAAGCTAGTTTTGCTAGCTCATCTGTGCGAAGTAACTTATAATTGTGTTCATTAATTAGATAAGATTCTATATTGTAAGCTGTCTCAACTTTTTTTAAAAGGAGATACATACAAACCAGAGGTTGGCAAACTGCTCTGTGCCTATTTTTGCAAATGGGTTTTATTAGAATAGAACCACACTAATTCATTTAAGTATTGTCTATGACTGCTTTAATGCTATAAGAATTGAGTAGTTGTAACAGGCATGGTATGGCCCAAAGAGTCTAAAACAGTTACCCTCTGCCAGGCACGGTGGCTCACGCATGGAATCCCAGCACTTTGGGAGGTCTAGGCAGGTGGATCACAAGGTCACGAGTTCAAGACCATCCTGACCAAGATGGTGAAACCCCATCTCTACTAAAAATAGAAAAATTAGCCAGGTGCTGTGGCAAACACCTGTAATCCCAGCTACTCGGGAGGCTGAGTCGGGAGAATTGCTTGAACCTGGGCGGCAGAGGTTGCAGTGAGCTGAGATCAGCTGCTGCACTCCAGCCTGGGTGAGACTCCATCTCAAAAAACAATAACAACAGTTACCCCCTGGTTATTGATATAAATAGACTTCTGATAGAGACTGTAAATGAGTGAATTAAACTCATTTCTAAACTAGATAGTTACTTGATATACCTGCCTTTTGAGAGAACAAGGGAAAAGAAAAACCCACTTAATCTTCGTAAGAACTTTGCATTAAGCTGTTAAAAAAATTTTATGATTATTTGATCCCCTGTAGTCTAAATCTTCCCACCATTTTGTTAATATCATGTTGCTCTACAAGTACTACTAAGTATTAGCTACTTTTAATGTATGTACATAGCATTATGCTGGGTTGTGATACAAGTTAAAAATTAAGTAAAACTTTAGCATTGACAATAACAAGTTTTTGTTTTGTTTTAAAGCATACGATATCAACATTACATTGGTCTCCTCGAGTAAAGGACTTAATAGTATCTGGGGATGAAAAAGGAGTAGTTTTCTGTTACTGGCTTAACAGAAATGACAGCCAGCATCTCTTTATAGAACCCAGGACAATTTTCTGTCTTACTTGTTCACCTCATCATGAAGATTTAGTAGCCATTGGGTAAGTACTGTGCCACCTGTACTGAAGATTTTTGTTTGTGTGTGATCATGTTTTGCATTTTCTTTACCTTCTCCTGCCCTTTTATTCCTCAAAGAAAACCATCTACAGTTGTTAGCCAGTCCCCCGACCCCTTAGCATCATTTATTCCTCCAGGTCCTTACTGTCTCTTTCCCTGGTTTTCCATGGTACTGTACTTTCTTGGTTCTTTGTGTCCAACTCCTGTAGTCAACCTTTAAATGTAGGAAGTGTCCTTTTTTACCTTTTTCGCTTTCTGTGCTGCCTTTTGATATAACATGAACTCCCAGGTGTCAGATGACTTTTCTCGGTTTGTCTGGTTCTGAGCGCTCCCTCTAGATTGGGAAAGCGATGTGACATTGGGATCCATTTCCTCATTGATCAACAAGGTTGTTTCACATGAGCTACCAGGATGGACATCCCCCTTTCCTTCACCATTCATGTACTTCTCATTGAAAGATGTCCATTTTCTCTAATTTGAAGACTTAAGCAATTTCTCTAGAATGTTGAAGGCGAAATTCTGATTGGAGTGAATTTGAAAGACTGGGTGCTAAGGTATTAGAGGTATACAGAGAAACAACCCTTTCACAAAGTTTGTTGTGAAAGTGTGCATAGACATGAAGCCAGAAGGGGTAGATGGGGTCAAGGGAATATTAAATGGGAGATACCAGGGACCTGTTTTTATGTTGATGGAAGTAAGGCTTGAAAAGAGGGAAAGCTTGTTGCAGAAGTAATGGTGAAAAGTCAAGAGGGGACTGGATTCAGATGACAAGAAGAAAGAATAGCTGGGAATATAGAAATAGGTGCAGGTAGGTTTGTAGTTGTGTTTGGAAGAACAGGGTATTCCATTTTGGGATTTCTGATTTTCTCAGTGAGACATAAGTCAGAGTGGTAGAATCAAATCAGCATGGGGTCGAAACTGGATAAGGGAAGAAGGTATGAAAACAGTCAAACAGAAAAGGAAAATGAATGTGCCAAGGGAAATTGTAGCCCCAGTGTTCACCGTTGTGCCAAAAAAAGAATCGTGGCCATAAATTTTAAGTAAACCCAAGCTGTTTGAGAAAGGAGATGGTTGGATTCAGCCAGGTTCAGGGCTTTGTGGAGTAAATACTCTTGAGGGAGGAGACAGGGGCTGTAATTATATTTTTTAAAGTTGATAATAAGGCCAGACGTAGTGGCTCAAACCTGTAATCCCAGCACTTTGGGAGGCCAAGGTTGGTGGGTGACCTGAGGTCGGGAGTTCAAGACCAGCCTGACCAATGTGGAGAGACCCCATCTCTACTAAAACTACAAAATTAGCCAGGCATGATGGCGCATGCCTGTAATCCCAGCTATTTGGGAAGCTGAGGCTGGAGAATCACTTGACCCCAGGAGGTGGAGGTTGCAGTGAGCCTAGATGCGCCATTGCACTCCAGCCTAGGCAACAAGAGTGAAACTCTATCTCAAAAAAATAATAATAATAATAATTAGCCAGGTGTGGTAGCTCATACCTGTAATCCCAGCTACTCAGGAGGGTGAGGCAGGAGAACCGCTTGAGCCTGGAAGGCAGAGGTTGCAGTGAGCTGAGATTGCACCACTGCACTTCAGCCTGGGTGATAGAGCGAGACTCTTAAAAAAAAAAAAAAAAAGTTGATGATAGTGATGGATCATGAAAGCTGTGCTGCATGGGGTGAGGGGAAGTATAGAAAGACAGGTGTTGGTAAGTGATAGTGAAAATGGAAGGGGACTGAATCGGCAGTCTTGTGAAGTGGGAGCAGTGTTGGCAATAGGGGTGCTAGAGGAAATGAACAGAAAGGTAGTAGGCAGGGGTCAGGGGAGGATCTTTGGAAGAGTATTATTCCCAGAAAGTTTGATTCAGATTTCTAAATAGCTTGATCTGTTGACAATTAGATTGCATAACTTGGTGGTTTTCAAAGTCCTGGTCTTCAAAGATTGGAATACTCTAGTATTTATTTTTCTTTTTTAAAAAATAAAGCTGTACTGGTATTTTTCCCTGTCAAATGTTCTAATGTGTAGGAAGTGTGAATAGGTATAACCACTTTGTAGAATGCAGTTTTGTGAGGTTTTTTTGAGACAATGTCTCGCTCTGTCGCCAGGCTGGAGTACAGTGGCACGAACTTGGCTCAGTGCAACCTCCATCTCCCGGATTCAAGCAATTCTCCTGCTCAGCCTCCCGTGTAGCTGGGACTACAGGCAAGCACCACCACACCCGGCTAATTTTTGTATCTTTAGTAGAGACAAGGTTTCAGCATGTTGGTCAGGATGGTCTCGATCTCTTGACCTTGTGATCTGTCCACCTCGGCCTCCAAAAGTCCTGGGATTACAGGCTGGAGCCACTGCACCCAGCTTGTACTTTCTTAAAGATGCATATATCTTAACATCCTGGCAGTTTCATTACGCGACATCAAACCTGAAATTGTCTTAGATGTATACATGAACATTAAAAGTATTTTTTTGTTGTTGTAAAATATGGAAGCCCTTCAGAAGGAAAATGAATAAACTTTGGTATATTCACACAGTGAGGTACTAATACAATAGTGTAACGACTGGCCAGGAAGTTACGTGTATCAGCATGGATGACTTACAAACAGAATGAGTGAAAAAAACAAGCTACAGGAAAATAAATGATAGCATTTAAATGAAGTTTTAAAACATATAAAATCTGTATCTTATTTAGGAATATATACAAAGAAAGGCTAGGAATGATATAACACACAATTCACAAATAGTGTTTGACCTCTGGTAAAAGAAGAGAAGAAGAGATCTGGCAAGGAGAGAGGTTTGATTGAGGTGGAATGTGCAGAGGACTTCAGCTCTATTGGTAATTATTTTTCTTAGCCAGGGCGGTAGATTACTTTTTTTTATGTATTTGAAATAATTTATTTTCAAAAAGCTATTAGAATTTCTCAGTTTCTTCTCATTCATAAAATGACAGCCTTGGAATATGGAGGTCTAGAGTATAGAATTCTGCAACTTTTGTTAAGTTCACAGTTTAAAAAATAGTATCACGGCCGGGCGCGGTGGCTCAAGCCTGTAATCCCAGCACTTTGGGAGGCCGAGGTGGGTGGATCATGAGGTCAAGAGATCAAGACCATCCTGGTCAACATGGTAAAACCCTGTCTCTGCTAAAAAAAAAAAAAAAATACAAAAAATTAGCTGGGCATGGTGGCGAATAACTGTAATCCCAGCTACTCAGGAGGCTGAGGCAGGAGAATTGCCTGAACCCCGGAGGCGGAGGTTGCGGTGAGCCGAGATCGCACCATTGCACTCTAGCCTGGGTAACATGAGTGAAACTCCATCTCAAAAAACAAATAAATAAATAAAATAAAATAAAATAGTATCACTTATAAAATAAAGGTGATTTTTCCAGTAGACTAGTAGTTATCTCAATTAGAAGAATTGGCCAGGTGTGGTGGCTCACACCTGTAATCCCATCACTTTGGGAGGCCAAGGCAGGCGGATTGCTTGAGCCCAGGAGTTCGAGACCAGCCATGAGCAACATGGTGAAACCCCATCCCTACAAAAAAATACAAAAATTAGCCTGGCATGGCACATACCTATAATCCCAGCTACCCTGGGAGGCTGAGGTGGCAGCATTGCTTGGGCCCGGGAAGTCAAGGCTGTAGTAAGTGGTGATTGTGCCACTGCACTCCAGCCTGGGCAACAGAGAGCGGGGGGAAAAAAAAAGAGTTGCCGGACCCTTGCAAAAACTATGAAAGTTCCTTTAGAACAAAATCATGCTCCACTGTGAGCTTTGTACCAGGCAACATACACAGTATTACCTAGTGCCAACAGTTTGATCGTAGAGAGGAAGGTTTTAACAAAACCAAGAAGCATAAGATGAGCCCTTTAAAAAAGGAAAAAACAAAATTATTTTTTGTCCTCTTTCCTCCTCCGCCACCCCGAATGCACCTAACTTTAAGGATAACTCCAAGCCAAAATGTTTCCTAGAGACCCTGTTCTGTCTTCATTTTTTGAGTAATATTTCTAACTCTTGTTTTTTAGGTACAAGGATGGCATAGTGGTTATAATTGACATCAGTAAGAAAGGAGAAGTTATTCATAGGCTTCGAGGCCATGATGATGAAATCCACTCCATAGCCTGGTGTCCCCTGCCTGGTGAAGATTGTTTATCTATAAACCAAGAGGAAACTTCAGGTAGAGATGACTTAAGTTCAGTACTCTTTCAACCTGAAGAACAGTGGGTAGAATTATATCATTTTATTTTATTTTATTTTTTGACAGGGAGTTTTGCTCTTGTTGCCCAGGCTGGAGTGCAATGGCACGATCTCAGCTTACTGTAACCTCAGCCTCCCGAGTAGCTGGGATTACAGGCATGTGCCATGGTGCCTGGCTAATTTTTAGTAGAGTTGGGGTTTCTCCATCTTGGTCAGGATGGTCTCGAACTCCCGACCTCAAGTGATCCACCCACCTTGGCCTCCCAAAGTGCTGGGATTACAGGCATGAGCCACTGCACCTGGCCAAATTATATCATTTTAATCATACCTAAAACTTCAAATTTTATAGTTCAGACCTATGAAAGAGATAGCTAAGTTTTGGGAACTCTTGCAAACTAAATTTTTTTATAAGTGCATGTTTAATGCAAATCAAAAACAAAATTGCCATCTTTCTCATAGAAGACCCTGAAATTACCAATGGGAATGCTATAGGACAAGCTCCAGGAACAAATGGCTGCTACTTAGCCACTGGGAGCAAAGATCAAACCATTAGAATCTGGAGCTGTTCGAGAGGCCGAGGTAAGATTGATGTTTCTTTTGTGATGTAACCTATGTTGATCTGGTGGAAATAGAGGTTTTTTTCTTCTGTCCTGTTGTCCTGAGGGCGTGTCCTCTTTCTGAGAGCAGTTCTTTACTTTTTGGTCTAGAATTCTGCTTCCTCATTGGAGCCTGGGCTGGATCTCTATTCTCTCAACATCTGGTATTAGAGATGAATGTTTCCCATGCATTCCAGGAGAAGACAAGGACCCCTTGCTTTATAGAAGGATCACTGTTTGGCATGGGGAGCAGGTTGTGTAGTAAGAAGAGGAATATTAGAACATGGTCTGGCCCAGGCCAGGAGAATGGAAAAGATCTCAAGAGTTAAAGCTTTTAATGCACAAATGCAGAATAAATTACATACACCCAGCATAGAATTATGTGTAAAAGCTCTGTTTATCCAAATTATAGAGCCCCTCAGTCATTTAGCTTTCCCAAGCTTCTCTTTGAACAGAACTTTTTAAGTTTAAAAATTGAGAGAAACTCTAGGCAGAGTGAATATTTATAGTATATTATAGAATATAACCTTTATAGTAAAACTCTGGCGTTTCTAGGGGTCTTCTCTTTCTTCATTTTATTTTTTTCACCAGTTTTTTTTTTTTTTTTTTTTTT